AGCCGCATGCAGAGTGCCCAGTCAGGCACACCAGCCCACCGTGGGCCCCCACCCAACCCATACAGCCGGCCGCAGCCCTTTCTTCATGCAACTTGCAGGGCACGAAGGTTTTCCCTATGCTCCGCGGAAGACCCTGTTTCAGAGGACTCGAGAAAGACTCCGTGTTCTTATCCCCCCCACACACACACACACCTTTTTTCTTTCTTTTTCTTTTTTTGCAAAAGCCATTCGCGTCCACCGGCTTTTCCGGGCTGCACCACCGCCTCCTTTACCGAGGGAAGAGACACCCACCTTTCCGCCGAGGAAGAGGCAAGCCCACCGATCTCGGAGGAGGAGAGGCTGCCCGTCGGGAAGGGTGGGAGAATCTCTGCCCCCAATCTCCTGCGGATCCTGCGGGTAAGCGAGGGAAGGCGACGTTGCTGGTGCAGCTGCCGCGATCCGTCTCCGATGCCTCACAAAGACCACCATAGACCACGGCTCGCCCCCTCCCCTCCTTCTCAAACATCTGTGACGTCCTCCGTGCAAGGAAGCCGGGGCTGGTTAACCCTTGCCTTGCGGCGTCAAAGCCCACCCGCTGGGTCTGCCTCTCCGGAGCAGGAGGGGAAAGGGAAAGGGAGGCGAGCCGAGAGCAGAGAGCGACGTGCAGAGAGGTCATCTAGCCGAGCCCCGGCCCCGGACAAACAGCTCTGCTCCCGTCACACCCACCTCTGGTTGAACCCTGAGGTGGGCTGTGTTTGAGCCACAGTCCATGTCATGCCACAGCTTCACTCTGGGCATGTGGTGTAACGAAGCATGTGGTGTCTGGGAGCATAGGCAGCGTTCTTCATCTTCAGACCGGGACCATAACCAATCCCACAACAGTCACAAGGCTGAGTAGACTGCAACCCCGGCACCTCTTCTCTTAGGGGCAAACTTTTTTGCCCAAATTGGAGGCCTCTTGAAAGCCCCATGCAGTGCTCCATGTCAGGGAGACTGGGAATGCGTGGGGTGGCCAATACCAGACTGGGGGGTTTCTCAAAATGGGGAGGGGTGTCTAGGAAGGGGAGGGAGCTCAGTGGGGGAGACAATGCCACATGGCCTGCCTTCCAAGACTGCCATTTCCTCCAGAGGAACTGCTCTCTGTACTTTGGAGATCTGTTGTAATTCTCTGAGAACTCCAGGAGGCTGGTAGAGCATGTATGACCTGGGTTCAAATCCCCCTTCAACCAGTGTGGCCTTGTACCAGATGCCAAGCTTCAGGGCCGGGCTTTCAGAGTGTGTCCCTCTGTGACCCAAGTCCCCTTTTGGAAAGTCCTCTGGACTCGGTTCACAGCCCAAAGGGCTACTGGCACTGCTGACCAGCATTTACAATCAGAAACATCAAGTCCTGTACAGTACAGTACAAGAATAATGGCAAAACAAGTTACCAAGTAGTAGCTCCAGATGGACTTGAGACCTCCTTGCCACTTTTTCCTAAGATCCAGGAGGTCCATAGACCAATGTGATATAATCTAAAGAGTTAAAACACACATACACAGGCTTATTTTGCATAGACATTTTCCTGAGCCCATAAGCAGTGGAAATACTTACAATATGCTTATCGCATATCTATATAATGCTTTATTTTACTGTATCCTGTAGGTTTTATGCCGATCCTGATATCAGCCCCCAGGACAGGGGGAATACAGTCTCTGTGTAATAAGCCATTAAGTCTATTTCAAAACTGCATGATCATGTCTGTCTGGGCAGCTGCAGTGCGCGACTAGAGAGCACAGGAAAAGGGGTGTCAGCAGGGTTGGAGGGCTTGGCCCACTCTTTTTAGTGCATAAGTCATCTGTTTGCAAAGGATGTTCCAGTCAGGGCCAGGCCATCCATTAGGCACACCCAGGGGATCACCTAGGGTGCAAGAGGGGGAGGGGGCCGAAACTAGCCTTATCACCCCCGCACACACAAACACACACACCCCTGTGACACTAGAGTCTACTGCACTGAATAGCAGTTCAGGCAGTGCCCCAGCCCCACTGGGTGCCCCATGGCAAGCCATCTTCCTTCTGTTGGGAGCTTGGGGGCTCTCTCCCTCTTTCAAAACATTTACATTTGCAGAAATACTTATAGGAGCATCAGAAAAGGCAGAAAAACCCAGGGCTGTTTTTGCCTCCCAATCTCTCTACGGGGGGTGAGAAGGGCAGCGGCTTCCCCGTGGCGCGGAGAAGTGGGTCACTTGCCCCAGCTCTGGTGGTGCCATTGTGGGACTCTGTGAGGCATCCACTCAGATTGTGGGGCTCTGTGAGGCATCCACTCAGACTGGTCCCTGTGGCTAGCAGCTCTGAGGGTGTGGCCACCATGGCCGGGACATGTTCCCTGGCTGGGTTCCAATGTGCTCCACAAGGATGATTCCCCATAGCAAAATGGCAAGTGTCATTCCCTGGAGCCACAGGAATGGAAGAAACATCCTCCTGGAGTGGAACCAATGCCTGTGTCATCTAGCATTCAGCCTCCATCCATGGGCCAGCCAGATGCTCTGGCCTTAATGGTGACAGTTTACCCCTGGTCTTTGCTCACGGTATCTGGTATTCAGAGACATACCGGCTCTAAACATGAAGGTTCAATTTCAGCACATTAGTAATATGGCCCATGACTGTGTTGCATGCATTTCAAACCATCTAAAGCTATGGTTCTCATTACCATATTGTGTGGCAATGAGTTCCTTAGGTGTGCAGAAGTACTTTTTTTTTCATAACCTGAACCTGCTGCCAGTCATTGATTGAAATTATAATAAGTGAAGGACAAGGCTTTCTATCTTTTCTCCACCCCATTCACAGTGTTATAAACCACTAGCAAGCCCCCTCCCCCCAGTTTCTACCTGAGCACCAAAGGACCACTCAAGAGGATAGGAAGCAGCCCTATGGTTATGACTTTGAAGACTGCTAGTGATTCTGGAATTATGATGGATATTCCCCCGGAATGAGCACAAGAGCATGAATCATTTGCATCAGTTGGGATTTTGCTGGCTCATCCATTTGGGCGGATGGGGTCCAGAGCTCTCTGAAAAATCTAGGGCAATTGCTTTGCGTGCCGCTACCCAGAGAAGAGGGAAAGCAGAATGTCTTGGCCCCCTTCCCAAAGCAGGAGAGTCCGAGATGACACGCCTCCTGCTCTGGGGGTCAGATTGGAATGCATTGGCCTCCTGAACTAGATTTTTCATTTTAGGCCAGTAGCAATGCAGGTGATGCTGATCGGCTCTGACAACCTAATGTTGCTGATCTCTCCGCGTCTCATGTGAGCTGGCAATGCAGAATGCATCAATTGCCCAATGGCTAGAAAGAAGCTGCATGTGTGAGTGAGTGAGTGTGTGTGTGTGTGTGTAGAATTAATTAGGGTTGCCATGTCTGGACTGGGGAATTCCTGTAGATTTGAGGGTGGGTTTGGGGAGGGGAGGGGAGGGGAGGGGAGGGACCTCAGAAGGGTATAATGCCATAGAGTCCACCCTCCAAAGCAGTCATTTTCTCCTGGGGTTGTCTGTAGATCGACTGTAATAGTGGAATATCTCCAGGTGCCACCTGGAGTTTGGCAACCCTAACAAAGATGGCAGAGCCTGGGAACAGACAGATCCTGAGCCGCTGGCAGGCTGTGAATCTATTGGTCTCAAGAAGCCTTTGCGCTTGGATACTGGATATCTGAAATGATCCTCCAGCAGAAACTCCAGTGTTGGTTTCCAGGGATGAAGTGGACAAAGCAAACCCCACTTTATAGGGTTGCCAGCTCTGGTTTGGGAAACTCCTGGAGATTAGGGGAAGACAGAGTTTGGGGAGGGGAGGGAGCTCAGCAGAAACGTGATGCCACAGAGTCCGCCTCTGAAGCAGCCATTTCTTCCAGGAGAACTGGTCTCTGTAGTCTGGAGATCACTTGTAATTCGAAGAGATCTACGGGCTCCACTTGGAGATTGGTAATCCTAAACCGGACAGATCATCGGTCTCTTTCTGTACCTGAAGTAGGGTTGCCAACCTCCTGGAGATCTCCTGGAATTACAGTTTATCTCCAGACTACAGAGATCAGTTGCCTGGATGAAATGGCTCTTCTGGAAGGTGGACTCTGTGCCATCGTACTTCACTGAAATCCCCCCTCCCAATTCCTGCCATCCCCAGGCTCCACCACCAGATCTCCAGGAATTTCCCAACCTGGTGTTGGCAACCTTAGGTTGAAGTCTGCTACCATATGGGGCAGGAGTGACTCCATGCAGATGTACCACAGGAGGCTCCGAGACAATCTGGAGGGTCTGCAAAGGTGTGCGGTGCAAGATTTGTGTCCTCAGCCTTCTGTACAGTGTTGTAAGGGCAGTGATTCCAGAGCTCTTCTCCAGTGTGCCCGGCTTCATAAAAATGTGCTGCTCAATTTGGGTTGCCTATGCAGTTGGTCAGCAGCCAGAATAGCCCTGTTTAGCCCAAACTCACAGAGCCTGGAAGCCACTGTCAGCCCTGGTTAGTACTTGGATGGCAGGCAGACCACTACGGAAGACTGGGACTGCTATGCCAAGGAAACCCTCTCTGCTATGCACTAACAAACCACCTCTGCTCATCTCTTGCCTTGAAAACTCCATGGTCCTGGGGTTGCCATGAGTCAGTTGTGACTTGACAACACTCAGTTATGCCATTGGGACAGGCCCATCACCAGGATATTTCCCCACTCCTGCCAGGACAATCCAACCTATTCCTTTGGCACCCTGGCACATCTATGCTCCTTAAATGTTGTAAAATGCATCCAAGCCTCATAAGGATACCAGACCGTCCACTCAGGCAAAATGTGTCCAGGCCTCTGTGTCTTGCCCCGCATCACCCAAGGTGGCTCAGTCCGTCTTGCATCTCCATGGAGACAGCCAATCAGAGGCAGACATTGTCTTCTCTCTCTCCACCCTGAAATTCATCACTGCTCAATCCCATCAAAGCATTTAAAGACAAGATGCAAATGTGTTGCCTGTGCTCTAATTACTTTGAATATTGACATGAGGTGCAAACAGCAGCAGCGCTGAGGGACGGCATGCGAATCTGGGCCTGAATCACAGCCGGGAAAGCTGAATGAAGACAATGGGAGCCACTTCTCTCTCTCTCTCTCTCTCTTTTGCAAGAAGAGAGGAAAGGGGTGTTCTACTCTCCAGCAGAGCATGCTAAAGGAATTGTGGGTTACTGTGTTAGGAGGCATTCAGGGCATGCTTGGGGCCGGGGTGTCCAGTTTCAGCCAGACTTAATGGAATAGCTCCCACCTTTTAGACCCGAGGACAGATGTGCTCCAATCTGCATTGAGCCACTCCCTGTTGAGATGGCTGAGAAAGATGGGGGGGGGGAGGAGAAATATCTGCGCTGT